AACATGGTTCTTTAATTTTTCAACTCCACGGAGTTTATTTAAGTCACAATTTCTATGGTGCATGCCCACACGCTCGTCACCTAACATGTGCGTCACCTCCAACAATTGATATAACACAACATTTAGGGATTCATATCTTTCGAACCAAGTTTAGAAATGTTACTTACCTCAAACCATGTAATTTCTTACTTCGCAATGCCCTTGCCTCATGAATTGGTCTCCGAAAGCCTCGTATCTAGCCACAATTAATTCGATTCAGTCAATGCAAATTATTGGAATTAATTCCATAAGAAAATACTAATTTTTCCAACAAAACCTGAAATTTAACTCAAAAATTATCCGTGGGGCCCATATCTTGGAACCCGGCAAAAGTTACAAAATCCGAAAGCTCATTAAACCACGAGTCTAAACATACCAATTTTACCAAATTCCGACATCAACTCGACCTCCAAATCCTCAAATTTTATTTTCAAATCCCTAGGTCCAAATCCACGATTTACACCTCAAAATCATGTAATCTAGTCGGATTATTCGATGATAATTCAATATTATGGAGTAGAAATGATCACAAGTGAAGACTTATCTCAAGATTTCCCGTGATTTCTTGCTCAAAAATCACCCCAAGCCGTGTTCTTTCGTCCAAAAATGTTGAAATGAGCTACAAAAACAGAACTGCTCAATAAAACACTATTCTGGTCGCTAAAAGCCCAATTTCTGTCGCTCAAAGTGCCAAATCTGGTCGCTAAAGGTGCGCACCAGAACCTGTTGCACCAGCAATATTTATTTTCACTAAAAATGCTCTATCTCCATCATACGAACTTGGAATTAGATGATTCTTGTTCCTATGAGTCACAATTAATAATAGGAACCTAGTCCTTCAATCAAAACTCAATTCAATGCTCATTTGCTCAATGTGATACCAATTTCGCTCGTTAAACAATTAACTCATGTTTCGTGCTAAAAACCCAATCGCGACTTGATGAAATTATACCAAACTTTCCAGAACTAAAAATGGACCTTTGGATAATTACATGCTTATGTTGAAAATATCAAACTCTTCCAAACCTCTTCCCCCACAGCCTGTAGTGTATCAACTATAACTTCTTGTACCCAACTCCAACTTCCAAACATTTTAAATTTATGAAAACTAGATACAAAGGACTACAACTTTTATTTTTGGATCATCCCCAAATTCGTTATTGATTACGAGATATAAGCTTCCAAATTCAGTCATGTGCAGTAGAAATTTCAGCGATACACACTGTTGTAGCAAAACAAAAAAGCAGTTAAAAATGGCTTAGAAATGGTCTGAAACCACTCCGAAACTCACCCGATCCCCTCGGGACCCCGTCAGAACATACCAACAAGTCTCAAAATATATTATAGACTTAGTATAGTCCTCAAATCACATCACACAACACTAAAACCACGAATCGCACCCCAATTCAAGCCTAATGGAACTAAGAAATTCCAACTTCTACATTTGATGTCGAAACCTATCAAATCAAGTTCGATTGATCTCAAATTTTGCACACAAGTCATAAATGACATAACGGACCTAAGAAAATTCCCAGAACTGGATTCCGACTCCGATATAAAATATTCCACTCCCCGGTCAAACTTCCAAACTCAAATTTCCTATTTTCGCCATTTCAAGCCTAATTTAGCTACAAACCTCAAAATAAATATCCGGACACACTCCTAAGTCCGAAATCACCATACAGAGCTATTGGAACCATCAGAATTCCATTTCAGGATCATTTACACATAATTCACCATCCGGTCAATTATTTCAACTTAAGCTTCCAAAACAAGAATTGTTCTTTCAATTAAATCCTGAATCATCCGAAAATCAAACTTGACCACCCTCGCAAGTCATAATACACATTTCAAAGGTGATCGAGACCTTAAGCCACCGAACGAAACGCTAATTCTCAAAATGACAAGTCGGGTCGTTACATTCTCCCCCACTTAAACATAAGTTTGTCCTCGAACATGCCAAGGGTTATTTCCAAGCCATCAAATCACTATTTCATCTTACCACGCACGTACCCGGGGGTGATCCCATGCCACCCTATTCCGTATATGCCTGACAATACCACGTAATTGAAGAACATTACTTCAACCTTAGCCCATAAATCTTGAAATTCAATTTCCAAAAGAATTTCTTTTCAAGACCAGAATCTCATATCTACACACTGTATGAGTCTAAACAAGCTATATCAAGCCATAACCATGACCCATATATAATTACGTAACATACTACACAACTCGCACGCTTGCAGCACCATTTTCGATCACAGTAGCTACTCCAAACTGACCTATTAATTGTATTAAACCCCATATCAAGCCAAACCTAGTTCCAAAACCTTCGTACAATGCTTCTATTTAAAGAAACACACGGAATCTCATAACCAATTATTAGATCAACAAGTCATGGAGCTCTCTCACCCCAACCCGAACCATAATCACTTTCTAAGCCGACTTTCAATGTCATCCTCCAAAATATACCGTAATCAAATCCGATAGCACACATTCTAGGCCCAATGGCCTTATATTTTTAAACTCAACTATCCCATAGACATGCCACACAAATATAACTCAAGCCACAACTGTGCAACTCGTGTACCCAAAAAGGAAAATGTCTCAAAGAAGAGAACCGTATTGGGAGTTCAACAAGCACCACCAACTGCAATGCTATAAGCTCATTATATATTGTAGAACCAAGACACGCAAATTTTATAATAGTAACCAGCTCTTCTAGAGCTCACATTAACATCACTCGCATGGACAACTCACGTGCTATATTATCAATATTTGGACCCACACGAACAACTCACATGCCAATAATATCAGTACATGGATCCGCACGGACAACTCATGTGCCAATAATATCAGTATATGGATCCGCACAAACAACTCATGTGCCAATAATATAATCCGCCCGGCATGGTCACAGGCCTTCAGTCTAAGCATATCATACAAGAGCAATCAAATAAGTACACATGTATATGATAAATGAATTATGATTCTCATGCTCCTGGTCTGGTATAAATAACACGCCATAGAGTAGGCAGGTGCAAGGTGTGCTATCACCACTCAAATCGGCAAGTTTATACAGAAATAATAACTACCCAATTTATTTAGGGAATTAGCCTCTTTGTAACCTCAAGTGTAGTACAGATATTTCTCGACAAAGGTATGAATATGAGAAACATTATAACTTTACGCTTAATAGTCAACTCTTGGCATATCTTTGCCTAAGCATTCTTCTGAGTATGAATACTTGCCTCGATGCCCGCACATAGCTCAAACCTCCCATATCTACGTACTCGTGGCGCGCAACTATCACAAATAATTAACGCAATTAGTGCCTCCACTGAGTTTAAATAAAATACTCACCTCAACCAGGTCGCAATCCTGAAACAATTTGCTTATGAGAACTCCCAGTCCCCGAAATTCATCGAACATATGAACCACCGTAACTGATCACAATTCTAGAAAATTATATACCCGGCCAGTTAGAAACCTCCCTCTTGCTTTATTCCAGGAGGAAATCACAATACACAACACGTTCCCCCCATAATTATAGAAAATATCCGACTCAAACCATGGTTGAAACCATCAAGAACACTTTGAAATCCATTTTCACATAACCAAGCTATCGGAACCGAATTTCTCTAACTCGACCAAGCCACGCAGGTCATCAACCAAAAAATATTGCCACCAAAACATCTGTACAGTCTCACCACATCATAATTACCCAAAAGAACCAAGCATACTATTACCATACTGGTCTAGCCTACTACATAGTTGTCATATTTACTTCGAGTTTCTTCTGAATTACCCTCAAGTCGACACTTTTCCTTGTCAGAACCCTACGATCCTTACCCACAGCTCACTACAAGACATTCTAACATAAAACATACCGCCCTAAGGCCCATAAGCCATTGTATTCTTCTTAAGCACCACAAAAGTACCACAACCGAGACCTTCACACTAAAAAGACCTTATGTGGACTTCAAATTGTTCCTTTTCATCTTTCTTGCACTGAAATGTAGAATCCATTGTGATATAGAATTATCGCAAGTCCCGACATCATCCAGTGTAAATAACCGATTCTGGCGATAAATAAATTTCGAAAATTTTTCAATTGACACAAAGATATATTTTGAATCCATTAGAACCCTTTTGAAAGTCACCCACTATGCTCTAATCTAAATTGCACCACCCAAACGGGCCAAAAGACACAAGTCCCATTAGCACAACAACCCCTAAAGAAGTAACCCTGCCTTAACACCACCAATCAAATTCATACTTCGTGCGCACTATATACTTCAAAATAACAATTTAATCATTTTATGATTTTTCATAAAGTGCAATATAACCCGCATTCAAGAAATTTTCTTACTCAAGTCATCCCCGATCGCAACCTCTACAAGTCATAACTAATCAACAAGTATGACTCAGATCAAAACCAATACCGCACATAATTGTGCAATCAAATCGTAGATAGCAGACTCCCCCACTTGGCTCAAAGCCATATAACAAAACAACTGATAACTCACCATACCCAAGATAACATCGAAATCGACCATACTAAGCAATAAAAGATCAACCCTGGTCTCTAGTTCACCAATAATTACCACACACGACCGATACACATGGTCCACAATTATAGTATCGCCCACCGGCGTAGATACATGAACATGTGAAATTAAGGACTCATGGGGCATATCCAGATAATGAACAAAATATGATGAAACATACGAATATGTCAAACCAGGGCCAAATAATATAGAAGCTTCCCTGTGGAACATGAAGGCAATACCTGTGATCATTGCATCTGAAGCAACAATATCTGGCATGGCAGGAAAAGCATAAAATCGGGCTTGACTGCCACCTGATCGGCCTCCCCCTATTGGGCAACCCCTAGCTAACTGAGCCCCACCCCGAGCTGGCTGGGCGGGTGGTGGAGCAACTGGTGCACACATAATAGCCTAACTCCTCTGTTGAACTGGACCTCGCAAAAAGTGGGGACAATATTTCCTCACATGACCCAGCTCTCCACACTCATAGCAATCCCTCTCGAAAAATGGTGGTAAGTTCTGAGGCGGACCTCGAGAACCAGAATAAATGCTAGAAGAACCTGGTACAAATGAACCCTGAACTGATGGAGCACGGGGTGTACTCTAGGCTGGCAGGGCACTAAGAGATGACTGACCCTGATGAGAACTGTATGAACCATGGCTGGATGATGCACCAGGGTGAACTGGATGACCCGTCTGAGCGTGCTTGTACGGATGACCCCTGCTGTGGTAGGACTGCATTCCAGAAGGTACCCCACCAGAACTGCCCAAACCTCGAGGCCTCTTGGCCTCCCTATCACCATGCTCCTGGCTACGGACCACCTCTATCTGCCTAGCAATGTCATCCACCTCATCAAAAGTGGCACTAGATACCCTCTCCCTAGTCATAAGTAACCGCAGCTGATATGTGAGGCCATCAATGAACCTCATAATCCTCTCCTTATCAGTGGGAACCAACCAAACAGCATGACGAGCCAACCCAGAAAATCTCATCTTGTACTGCATCACAGACATGCCATCCTACCGAAGCTGCTCAAACTGTCTGTGCAGCTCCTCCCTACGAGACTGCGGCACAAACTTCTCCAAAAAGAGAACGGATAACTCCTGCCATGTAAGTGATACTTCACCGACAAGCCCGTGCCTCTCATAAGCCTCCCATCATCGAAGGCAGCCCCAGAAAATTGAAAAGTAGTGAACGAGACCCCACTGGTCTCCAGAATACCTGTTGTCCGAAGCATCCACTGGCACTTATCCAGAAAACCCTCACCATCCTCTGACTTAGCACCGCTAAATGATGGAGGTCGAAGCCTTCCAAATCTGTCAAGTCTCCTGTGCTCATCATCTGCCATAACGGGGACTACCGGGGCCTGAACAGTTGCAGCCAGCTGGGCTGGTAGTGCCCCCGGTATCTGAAGTACCTGCACTACCTACTCTAGAGTACGGGCAACAGGGGTATGAGTACCTCCCCCAGCCTGAGAAGTGGCTGGTGCGGCCTCAGCCTAAACCACCTAAGCAAGGCCACTGCAAACTATAAATATCTGTGCTAGAGCCTCTTGACTCTACTAAACCTGCTCGTGACTCGTGAGACCTATGTAACCTAGGCTCTGATACTAACTTGTCACGACCCAAAATCTCACTTGTCGTGATGGCGGCTATCTCAATACTAGGTAAGCCGACAATCTCAATAAACCACCATATCTTCTAAATTTGAAATATAATATTTAAATTTAGTGGAAGAAATCTCACAAGTACAAAAATAAACACTCCTAAAACCCGGTATCATTGAGTACATGAGCATCTATATGTATACAAAGTCTGACTGATAAAAACACTATCTGACGGTATAGAACAGTACAATAACTATCATGACCCAATTCTGCCTCCGTAAGACGTCGTGATGGCACCTACTCTCTACGACTTAGTAAGACTAACAACATGCGAAAATAACAAAATGGAAGTAAACTTAACAACTAACTACAACAGATAACTAAATAACTGTTAACAGTGCCGCTTGGCATGTACAATAACCAACACACTAGTAATACACAGTATTCACAAAACCTAGAACATCATAAGTCACAAGCTACAGAAGGAAACTATAATCTTTATACAATGGAGTCTAATAAAAGAAATATGGAAGGTGAATGATATAGGAGAGAATAAAGGGGGACTCCGAGGTCTGCGGACGCGGCAAATGTACCTTGAAGTCTCTGTAATGCAGCAAGCACTCTCAGCTAAAAGTAGGGATGATAAGAAGCACCTGGATCTGCACACAAAACATGTGCAGAAGAGCAGCATGAGTACACCACAACGGTACCCAGTAAGTGATAAGCCTACCCTCAGTAGAGTAGTGACGAGGTCAGGTCCGGGCCCTACTGGGGATATAATAATAAGACAGATGATATAATAAAATGAAGTAAAATGGGAAATTTTAGCATAAAGAATTCATAAAAAAATAATAACACAGTACAATCTGATAACAACAGGGGCGCTCCCGAGATACCGTCTCGTAGTCAAAAATAAATAAATACTCAACAGGGAATCTCTCGAGATACCGTCTTGTAGTCCCAAAAGTAAATATGCGAGGAGATCTCCCGAGGTACCGCCTCATAGTCTCAAAAGTAATTGTGCAGGGGGATCTCACGAGGTACCGTCTCGTAGTCCCAAAAGTAAACATGCAGAAAGAACTCCCGAGGAACCACCTCGTAGTCTCAAAAGTAAATGTGTAGGGGGATATACCGAGGTACTGCCTCATAGTCCCAAAGGTAAACATGCAGGGAGAATTCTCGAGGTACTGTCTCATAGTCTCAAAAGTAAATGCGTAGAGAGAACTCTCGAGGAACCGCCTCGTAGTCTCAAAAGTAAACACACAACTCAAACCGATTAATACAACAGTTAACAACAAGATTTCTACAGTTAATACTGATAAAGAACAAGGAAAACTAGAAATCAACTAGGCACGCTTCACAGAGTTCAAATAAGCAGTTAAAACACGTAGACATGCGATATTAGACTAAATAGGATAACTACATATATTGGAATATCTCAAATAAGAATGGAAACAGAAAAATACTCATTAAAACGATATAACTCAATTTAAAAGGAAAACAGATTGATAATCAGTAAAAATCGGGTTTTACAACAATATAGCCCGTGTACGTACTCGTCACCTCACGTACACGATGCTCACATATCACAACAGTACCAAATCATAAGGGGATTTCCCCCACACAAGGTTAGGCAAGCCACTTACCTCTAACCAAGTTTAATCAATCAGACGAATATCCGACTCCGAATGGCCCAAAACTAGCGAGAATCAGTTACATATCATAAATACAACTATAAGAAACTAATCTAATTAATGAAATCAAAGCCAAATCAAGAAATTAGAAAATTGCCCCTAAAAGCCTCCCCGGGCCCACGTCTTAGAATCGGGTAAAAGTCACAAAATATAAACACCCAATTTTTGTTTTGAAATCCGACCACAATTTGAAAACATGAAAACACAAGATTTTTGGTTGAAATCCTAGGAAATGTAGGGAAAGATTGAAAGAAATTAATTTAGAATCACTTACCAATGATTTGGGGAAGAAAGGTTCTTTGAAAAATGGCCTATAGGGTTTCTTGTTTTGAACATTTGAGAGAATGAACCAAAACCCCATCTAAGTCCCATTTTGATCAGTTGCAGATGTCGCATTTCCGGCCCGCGCAAATGCGAAGAAACCATCGCAAATGCGAAGTCCTTCCCATCTCTGCTTTCATCGCTAATGCGATGACTTGTTCGCAATTGCTAACATTGATCTTCCGCATTTGCGACCAAATTGATCGCAAATGCGACCCAGCCTGTCCTAGCCCCACTTCGCAAATGCGAAGTCTGGCCTCCCCGCAATTGCGACCTCTTGATCACAAATGCGAACGTGTGCTGACCCAGATACTCTTCGCAAATGCGAGCTTGGCAGGATTTGGGATGTTCACAAATGCGAACACTGATCTCACAATTGCGAGATCAAAGTTTACAACCGGACGTCCGAATCACTTCAAACCAATTCTGTTTCTCACCAAATTTCACATACAAGTCATAAATATAGTATTAGACCTATACCGGGTTCCGAAACTGAAATACGGACCCGATATCAAAAAAGTCAAACATTGGTCAAACTTTCAAAGTCATTAAGCTTTCAAACATTCAATTTAAACAAAGTTCGATAACTCGGGCTAGGGAATTCCGAATACGATTCCGGGTGTACGCCCAAGTCCCAAATCATGATACGGACTTACCGGGACCATCAAAATACGAATCCGGGTTCGTTTGCTCAAAATGTTGACCGAAGTCAACTCAAATGGATCTTAAGGCAAAAAATTCATATTTTCTCAGTTTTTAACATAAAAGCTTTCCGGAAAACACCTGGACTGTGCACGCAAATCGAGGAAAGCTAAAATGAGGTATTTAAGGCTTAAAAGCACAAAATTAGGTTCTTAAAAATAAGATGACCTATTGGGTCATCACATTCTCCACCTTTAAAACAATCGTTCGTCCTCGAATAGACATAGAAAAGTACCTGGACTGGTGAAAATGTGGGGATATCTACTCCGCATGTTTGACTCTGACTCCCAAGTAGCTGCCTCGATGGGCTGACCTCTCCACTGCAGTCGGACTAAAAGATAACTCTTCGACCTCAACTAACGAACCTGCATGGCTAGAATAGCCATCGGCTCTTCCTCGTAAGTCAAATCTTTGTCCAACTGGACAGAGCTGAAATTTAACACGTGGGATGGATCGCCGTGATACTTCTGGAGCATGGACACATGGAACATCGGATGAAATGTTGATAAACTCGGTGGCAATGCAAGCCTGTAAGCCACCTTCCACACTCTCTCAAGAATCTCAAAAGGCCCGATATACCTAGGGCTCAACTTGCCCTTCTTTCCTAACCTCATCACACCCTTCATGGGTGATACCCGGAGCAAGACCCGTTCCCCAACCATGAATGCAACATCGCGAACCTTCCAATCCGCATAACTCTTCTGTCTGGACTGGGCTGTGTGAAGTCGATCCTGAATCACCTTAAACTTCTCCAGTGCATCCCGAACCAAGTCTGTACCCAATAATATAGCCTCACCCGACTCGAACCAACCCACTGGAGACCAATACCGCCTACCATATAAAGCCTCATACGGTGCCATCTGGATGCTCGATTGATAATTGTTGTTGTGAGAAAACTCCTCAAGTGGCAAGAACTGATCCCAAGAACCTCCAAAATCTAACACACACGCACGAAGCATATCCTCCAGTATCTGAATAGTGTGCTAGGACTGTCCGTCCATCTGAGGGTGAAATGTTGTGCTCAAATCAACCCGAGTACCTAACTCCTGTTGTACATCCCTCCAGAACCGTGATGTAAACTGCGTACCCCGGTCATAGATGATAGATACCGGTACGCCATGAAGCCTGGCAATCTTGCGAATATAAATTCAAGCCAACTGCTCGGAAGAATAGGGAGTCATCACAGGAATGAAATGAGCTGACTTGGTCAGCCTATCCAGTATCACCCAAACTGCATCAAACTTCCGCTGAGTTCGTGGAAGCCCAACAACAAAATCCATAGTGATCCGCTCCCATTTCCACTCTGGGATCTCTAACTTCTGAAGCAATCTTCCTGGCTGCTAATGCTCACACTTTACCTACTGGTAATTCAGACACCGAGCTACATATTCCACTATGTCCTTCTTCATTCTTCTCCACCAGTAATGCTTCCTCAAGTCCTGATACATCTTCGCGGCACCTAGATGAATGGAATACCGTGAACTGTGAGCCTCCTGGAGAATCTACTCACGCAAACCATCTACATTGGGCACACATAGCCTACCCTACATCCTCAATGCACCATCATCCCCAATGGTGACCTCCTTAGTGTCACCGTACTGGTGCGTGTCCTTAAGGACAAGCAGATGGGGGTCATCATACTGATGCTCTCTGATACGATCATAAAGAGAAGATCGAGAGACCACACAAGCCAATACTCGACTCGGCTCAGAAATATCCATTCTTACAAACTGGCTGGCTAAGGCCTGAACATCCAATGCCATGGGCCTCTCGGCTACTGGTAGATATGCTAAGCTCCCCAAACTCTCTACCCGGTGACTCAAAGCATCCTCCACCATATTGGCCTTCCCGGGATGGTACAAAATGGTAATATCATAATCCTTAAGCAGCTCCAACCACCTCCGGTGACGCAAGTTAAGATCCTTCGGTTTGAACAGATACTGCAAACTTTGGTGATCGGTGTAAATCTCACAAGGGACACCATACAAATAGTGCTGCCAAATCTTCAAGGCATGAACAATAGTT